GGAGCTTACTTGTTGGGTAATTCCAAAATTCCGTTGGAAGTATAATCTCTGATTTTCTCGGGAAAGTTTCTGGTTGTGAGTCAATCGAATTCAGAGGCTCGAGCTCCTGAAATTTGTTAGTAAGAAAATAAGGAAGAAGACAAAATCCCTTAGAGGTTTATATACGAAGAAGAAAAAACGGAGAAAAATAATTAGCAAATTAGAAAATTAGCAAAAGTCTTAAGAAAGAAAATTAGTTAGCGGATATAGCTGGAGTATGGTGCGTGCTATTTCGAGGGAAGATTAACGTGTCGTTTAACTGTTCGACACACAGAGTTGGCTTGATCTCGTGACACGTCAGGGGATTTGGAGTATGGAGACGGGTTCACGGGCATCGAGAGGAAAGTGAGAAAAAAAGTAAAATAAAATTTGGTTAGAGATTGAATTGAAATTGAAATACATATCTTTAGAGAGTATATAGATCTACGGTGTGTATCTCATAAACAAAACACAAAAAAAGTACATGACTCCACTTGGTTTGTTGTGATTTGGAGTTTTGTGAATTAACAATTAATAACTATGAATGAGAAATGTGGTGAGTATTTTGTTTTTCTTTTCAATTCATTTGTTAAAACAAGAATAGCATGAAAATATAACTCGTTGTTGTATTAAATAATTATGAGAAATTTCCCATTTTTCAAATGCTATTTTACAAAAATACCATTTTTTTTACAATTTTTGCAAAAATACCAATTTTTAAAAATTAAGTTATTCATTATATCATTTATATTTGAGTTAATTATGTTGTATTAGGGTTTAGAATTTTAAGATTTAAATTCTAAAAAAATCATAATTAGTGGTATTTTTGTAAATGTGGATACAAAAATCTAGTCGACTTTTTTGTGTATGGCAATTATTATGACAACAAAAGTTAAAAAAAAAAAAACTATTATGACAACAAAACCTTTTTTTTTTATTTAAGGTCTTAGAAGAAATATAGGTTTTGATATTTGAATGTGGTGTGAATCTTCGATTAATGTCATTCCAACTTCGCCTCGTAAGGATATGGAATGTTTGATTTTGGTCTACATGATTTTTTTTTTTTTGTCACAAAATTTGGTCTACATGATTATGATTGTTTTTGAGAGAATTGTTTAGATTTAATCTCTATGGACAACAATCAATACAAATATAAAACTTTTGCCACGAAATTTTGTGGTTTTAGTATGTTAAAG